TCCGGCCCACGCTGCGCCTGGGCTGGGACTGGTCCCGCCGGCGCAGGGTAGCAGGAAACTCTCCGCACACTCACCGGACCTGGGCTAGGACTGGGTCCCAAGGAAGTCTTAAAGTGCAAAGTGTCAGTTTTATGTATTTTCCATCCCACCTTCCATAGTTACTGAATTTCTCTCTGAAGAATAACCTGAACATGATAGAACAAGCTAATAGACACTGACTTTTAGATCCTCAACAAAATGTTTCCATGGAGGATTTCAGCAGACCTTTCTCCAAAGAAGATATTCAAATGTTCAATAAGGTTAGGACAAATTTCCCAAAATTGTTAGTCATTTGGGGGTACAAATCAAACCACAATAAAACACTTCTTTATACCTTTGGGATGGTAGCAGTTCAAAAGAAAATAACAGGATAGAGAGAAGTCAGACTTGTATGCACTGTTTTTGGGAATACAAAATTGTATAGTCATTTTGGAAAAGTTCAACAGTAACTCCAAAGTTCTGCAGGGTCAGTATCATGACTTAAGGATTATTTTCTTTAATGTATTTAGTACAGGGTCTACAGGGCCCCACTACACAGATCAGACTCTTAAGTAATCCTCCTGTTTTCAGCCTCCTTAGTGCTGGGATCACAGGCGTGTGCCACCACACCCACTCTCAATAGCTGTCTTTGAGTGCTTCAGGGGGTGGGGACAGCACAGCACACAGGGGATCAAACCCCTGTTCCTGCATTTACCTAAGTAGGTGCTTTAATCCACTGAGCTATCTGGCCAGCCCTTCATCTAAAAATTCTAATCTCTATCTAATCTCTATCATCTCTCTCTCTCTCTCTCTCTCTCTCTCTCTCTCTATATATATATATATATATATATATATATATGATGTTAAAGTGTGCATCTACTTGCATGTGAGTATTCATAGCACTTGTCAGACATAATGACTGAAAAGTACAAAGAAACCTAAATGCCCATCAACTGATGGGCAAAAATGGTACATTCATACGATAGAATATTATTGAGCTATAAACAGGAATGAAATACTGATACATGCTATTATATGGGTGAACCTTGAAGACAACATAATAGGTAAAATAAGTCAGATACAAAGGCTGCATATTGTATAAATCCCTTTAAATGCAATGTCCAGAACAGGTAAATCAAGAGAGAGAAGATTGATTAGTGGTTCCCAGAGGCAGGAGCGGGTGAGGTATGAGGAATGCCCAATAATGGGTACCAGACTTCTTTTCAGGGTGGTGAAAATGTTTGAGAATTAGTGGTAATAATTTACTGCCTTTTAATACACTAAGATTTTTGAAAAGTAAAACTATATGAATTATCTCACCAAAAATTAAAAATTAAAAGGCTTCTATAGGAGAAAATTTAGAGAATAGAGAGCTTCCTGCTACCCTGCACCGGAGAGACCTACTACTGGTCCCAGCACAGGCGCAGCGTGGGTGAGACCCCCTTCCACCCCGTTGGGATAACCCCCACCACTCCGCAGCACCTCCCCCACCCCACCCACCGAGTAGGAATTTCTACCACGTTCCAAGAACCTCCAGACCCA